ATTACAAGTTTCAAGGCCAACCTCAGAAATTTGCCAGATTATTTCATAATAAAAAATAAAAAGGGCAAGGGATGTGGCTCAGCTGTAGACTGCCCCTGGGTTCAGTTGCCAGTATGGGGTGGGGGAAGTGGATTCCTGAGTCAACCAATCCAAGAATCTCTGGAGAGAGGTCCAGGACCTGTATTTTAAACCAGTGATATAGATTGTGGCGTAGTCTATGGATTGAGGACCATGGCCTCAGAGAAGCATGGCAAGTGAAAATATGTCCAGATTTCACTCTTCCTTTTGTGGTCAGGTAGTACGCTCATTTGGCAGGTAGATGAGGACAATGAGTAGGATCATTTCCTGCTACTGATATACCCACTGAGTATATCAGTTCTCTTCTCACGAGAATCACTTTTAGAAAGGAACTCAGCATCGTATCTCAGTTGTGTCATTTCAGATCTTAAAATTGCTTTCCTCTGTGATTCTTAATTTCTAACAGTTGGGAATTGAGACCTCCTCTGTCAGGGGGAGCAAGCAAGGACAGCTCAGGGCCAGCTTGGGGACCCTTGTGAGTTGTCACCTTATAGTGCCCATCAGTCCCTTTCTGCCCACTGTTTCCCTGCCCATGGTTCCCATGGATATGTATTGGAGATGACTCTCTCTTTGCAGAACTCAACATTTGCAGGGTGTTGAGACATTAAATTCCCCAAAGCACAGACTGCCTTGATTCCTGGAATGTGCATTGGGGAAGATGCACATATTCTAGAAGAATTGGAAAGTGAGTGGTGGAAATTAGAGGGGTGGGGTTGGCATGGGCACGAGCCCAGGGAGAGCTGGATGAATGGCATCAACATGGTGGTCTAACTTGCAGGGCCTGAGAGGCACAGATAAGCCATTACTTATGGTACCTAGGCCATTACTTCTAAAGCATTCAAATAGATGAATAAAAATTAAAACTCTTGATAGGATATAAAGGGAAAGATGGTACAGAGGACATAATACTCCTTGTGGAAGAGGATCTTGGCTTGGATTCTGGAAGGGTTGGGGGAGATGAGTTCAGGGTAGGCAGGACTACCGTCACTGGCTCGGGGGTCTTTGACAGTGCAGGATGTTTGGCTGTGGATGGAGGCGGAAGCCCCTTACTCTGCCACTTGTTGTGCCTTCACTAGCAAGCGAAGAGATTTTCTAGGACTTCTGGGTTACACAAAGGCCCCTTCCTCCTCAGGATCCCCATAATTTACAACCACACCCCCTGCCCATTAACCAAGCATGGAAATCAGGAGAAAAAGACAGGAGGGTGGAGAGCAAGGGTAAGGAGGGAGAGGTGCCCTGGGAGCCCCCCTGCCCCTTTTCAAGCTGGTATCTCAGAGAGCAGGGCCTGTTCTCCTATTGGGAGTGGAGTGCGGGCCACAGGGCAGCACATAGGCTCTCAGGAAGCTCCTCACATGCTCTGTGCATCCCAGAGTCTGTTTTCTGGGTCTCTATTCCCTGTACATGCCTAGGGCTCTGTAGAACTGGACTTCATGGACCCAGACTGAATGACAAGGCCCTAGAGATGCAGTTGAAAAACCAAACACACAAACCTTTAGGAGTAAGGGTCTATCAGAACACAGCCACGCCCACTCATTTACATATGCCCACGCCCACTCATTTACATACGCCTGGACTGCAACAGGGAGAGTCATTGCAACAGGGACTGTGTGGCCTGGAAAGCCTCAAAACGTTACTGTCTGGGCCTTTATAGGCAGAGTTTGTCCATCCCTGCTCTGGAGAGACCTGGACCAGCATTTAAATGCTCAGCCTTAGGCCAGGAAGTATATCCTACAATGTGTCCAGGGTCGGGGCATAACCAGAATGTTTGGCAAATACCATTATGACCACCTAAGCACCTTTTATGTGTTGGGCTCAGCATTGGGTGCTAGACATAGACAGAGACACAAGACAAATCTTTGATCTCAAGAAACATAAGGAGTGCCAGAATTTGGAGGTTGGGAGGAGGAGGGCTAAATATCGGGGCAATTCCAGTGCCCTGGAAGACGCAGACCATCTGGGCTGAATTGCTGGAGATGGAGGATATTCTCACGGCTTGATGACAGGCAGACCTGGGCACTGGCCGGCTTGGCAAGCCGCGGGGGTGACAGATTCCCCTGATGAACATTTATATCAATAATAGAAGGGTTGTTTAACAGGAATTCTTAAAGGAAAGATGAGATAATTTCATGTTTTGATATTCGTAAAATTGATTCCGTTGAAGCCGGAGCTCCGCCGTGCATATTATTGCTGCTGTAATTTTGGCAAAGATGTGATTCAAATTGGCAAAGTGTCTGTGCAGGGGAAATCCAGTAAGGAGAAAGAGTGGGAGGGTGGGCCAGGAAACAGAGATCAGGAGCCAGATCCTGGTGGCCTGGTGAGAGCTGGTGGCTCTCACCAGGAGCCTTTGCTACAAAGGGCAGGAGGGGGAAGAGGCTGAAGACCACAGAGTCCAAGAATACTTGGAGTTGCTGGAGCTGCCACTTGGGGAGGAGTGGGAGCAGCCAGGGGAGGGGTGCATGCATGTGTGTGGTGGGGGAGAGACATTTAAACATCGTAGGAATGAAGGATAAATTTAAAACCCATCAAGTGCAGTTGAGACAGCATGACAACGTGAGGAACATGAATCACTCTTTCTAGGGACCCACCCAACTCTTGGCAGGATTTAGAACATATTTTCTCCTTTATGTCTCCTTCCTATCAAGCTCAGTCTGGAGCTTTTTACCTTCCCATTCCCTGTTCCCTGGACCCAACCTTGGCAGCCCGGAGTCTAGTGCTGACCAGCCTGCTCAGGAGCTCAGTACCATGAGGACTTGGGGTATGCTGCTGCCAGGGTGGGGGTGACCAGTCCAGATGCTGGAAAAGGAGGAGACAAATGAAGAAGATGCCATTGGGACCCCTCTCCAGGGAAGTCAGGGTCTATTTAGTGGTCACGTGAGGCTTTAGCACATATGCATTATCATTAGCCTTTCTTTTCTATAGTTACCTTAGTGTAGGGGTTGGGGGAGGGGGGACTGGGAGAGACATCTGTGGGTTCTGCTTCATGGGGTCGAGACAGTGGGTGATAAATGTACTGGGGAAAAAAATGATGAGCTCAGTCTCGAAGCCTGAGTTCTCTCCTAGTTCTGACCTCTATTGGCACCGTGACCCTGGGCAAGGCTCTCTACCTCTCTGAACCTCAGCTTCCTCATCTATAAATTGTCATGCTCAGGTCATTAAGATCCCTGACCATTTGATCTTCTTTGTTTTTGTGATTCCCATTGTGACTTTCAGCGGAGACCAGGGAAGGCAGGGGGCAGCTGTGGAGGGCAGCATTCTAGAAAGATGCATTCCCAGGAGCCCAGCACAGTCTCCAGCCATTGTGGGGACTCACTGAGCAGTGGAGGAATCGGATGCCAGGGCTCCTCTGAACACCTAGAGCACTTGGCACTTAGACCCAAGGAGATGCATGTGTGCCACCTGTGGCCACTAGGGGTGTGGCTGGGAGTGTGAGGGGTGGGGAGCTGGAAATTCAGGATTGGGTCCTGCCTGGAAGGAAGACAGTAAGCAGATATCTTGAAAAATTGATAATCTGATGTCCTTTCAAACCAGAAGGACTGTCCCCAAGACCTCAGACTTGAAATGGGAACTTTCTGGACCCCCTGGATTCCTTAAGTCTTCTTCTTTGCATGTGCTCTTCCTTTTGCCTACTATCTTCTCCCACTCCTCTCCTAGAAAGCTTGGTTAAACTCCCTTTCCTCCACAAAGCCCTCCTGACCATGGCCCGATGGACAAGGTGCCCTTTGATGAGCCCTGCTCGCCTACATCAATGTGCATCCTGGTCATCCCAGGCAGACAGCGGGGACTAAGACCCGTTCGTCTTGGTCTGTGCTTTGCCTGGCACATGGTAAGCTGTCAGTCAATGCCAATTAGATGAGATCCTCTTTCCAGAGGTGAATCTGGCCATATCTTCCCCAGCATGGAAAGAAGAAGAAGGCTGTGGGGGAGCCAGCAGGGACACCTGAGTCCACTCATGCTCTCTGGACCCTGAGGAGGATCCATGCATTAGGAAAAGAGGAAGGAACCTATATGTAGTACTCAGTTCTCAAGAAGAGCCCACCTTGCTGCTGGCCCTGGTGGAGACAGGGAGCCGGTGGTCAGGCCAGCAGAGGGTGGGTAGGAGTACGCGGAGGAGCTGGGATATTGGGAAACAGGATCGAAAGATTCTATTATTCAGATTGGGAGACAGTAGCCAAATGGCTGTCCACCCAAGACGATGGCCTTTGGAGGAATCCTCTCCTTATGGGAGCGCTCTGAAATACTTATCACCATTGCACATGTAGATGGATTTTTTTTTGACTTTGTGATGGTGTGAAAGCTGTACGCATTCTGAGTTTTGATCTTTTTTTTTTTTTTTTTTTTTGAGTATTGAGTTTTGATCTTTTCCTGGCTGTTCAGTGTCATCCTCTGTGATTCTGGGCAGCAGCAGAGCTGAGCCACAGCTCCCAGGCAACCTCATGACCACCAGGGGTGACAACTGATAGTCTACCTTGTGCTGTACTGATGTTTGGTATGTTAAGCATGGTAATTGTACTTTTGACTTTGAGATGTCCAGCTTATGATGGGTTTGTTGGGAGATAACCCCAACAGAGGTGAATCTGGCCGTAAGTGGGGGAGCATCTGTAACCGTGTGACTGTGTTTCTTAATGTCAGTCTTCTGCACTAGACGGTGAAGTCCAGGGTAAGAACCAAGCCTGCTTTGCTTAAGCTCTGATACCCAGCAGCTGCTATCCGGACTGGTCCACAGTGGCTGCTCCTGATTTCAGTGTCATTTATGGAGCTCCTACTGTGTGCCAGGCTTGCCATATAGCACTAAGCAAGCCAGCAGGGGTTTCCTCAGAGGACAATGCCATTAACTTCTTTCTCTTCTCTATTTCCCTGTGCCCACGACCCTCCCCCACCTTCTCCTCCCCACCCCTTGTCTCTGCCCGCCCTTCCCCTGGCAGAGCAATGTTCTGTGATGGTGCCCGAGATGCGTGGACTGAGCCCAGGCCGAAGGCTGCCCGAGCCCGCCCTGTGCCCCGCTGCGGGCGGGAGCCCTGAGCCCGGGGCGGCGGGCCGCCGGCGCCACATCCTGGCCCTGCCTGAGGAGGAGGCATGGAGGCCCCAGCAGTGCGCCCTGCTGGAGGCCGACGCCTCGGACGAGGTGGGCATGCTGCCCGCCTCCCCACGTGCCACCGTCGCAGGCTTCGACAACTTCTTCCCGGTGCAGGAGGGCGAGGGCCCGGGCTGGGAGGGCGGCTCCAGCCCCTTCCTGCCCGTGAGCCCCGAGGTCATGAAGCGGCGGCGCGGGGGCCTCATCGAGCAGCGCGACATCATCAAGGCCCACGAGGCGCACAAGATGCAGAGCACCCCGCAGGCCCGGCGCAAGGAGTGGGAGTGAGTACCGCGGGGTCGGGTGGAGGGCGGGGCCGGGTAGTCCAGGCGGGGGCAGGGATGGCCGCTCAGGCTGGAACCCTGGAATGAGGTCCCTGAGGTCACCTCCTGCCAGCTGTAGGCCTCAAGAACTTGACTCAGGTCTCCGCTGTCACTTGGGGGCCAGCAAGCTCCCACCCCCACCCAGCTCACCCATTTTACTCAGATCCCAGGGAGGAGGAATTGCAGTCTGGTTCCTATTCTGGGCCTCCCTGTAAGACCTGCAGACTCCTTCAACTCGTGCATCATCCGTCTCATCTCTCCTTCAGGAACTGCAGCTCACCCTGCGCTTTCTGGTACCATGCTCCGGGGAATGATTGCATTTGGGGGGCAAGTCTCCTGTGGATGGAAGAGATTGACCGAGATTTGTGGCCACCCATGGTTTTATCTCGGCTCTTTTTGTGTAGAGGAAAAGGGTTTCCAAGCCTTAGGTTGACTTGAATTCATACCCCCTGAGAATTTAGGTTTTTATTTTCGAGGAGTTGTAATTTAAAGGAAGATGGTATTTAATTCTCAATTGCTCCGGGTTATACTCCACTTAAGGACTTGTTCTCCGCCCCCCTTGGCTGACAATTTATTGTGCATGTTTGTGTGTCCTGTGGTCTGTGTGTCGTTCTCTCCTCTTGCCTTGGATTGTTGAGTTGTTAGATGTCATTAAATGCAAAGAGATGAGTCGCAGGTGCTTTTTAACAGAGGTCCTCCTGGTGGAATCCACCTGCTTGTTTTCCCTGGGGGTGGGGGATGGTGTGGATGGGGGTTGGGGATGGTGTGGATGGGGGTAGATGAGCTGCTGTTTCTCGTGGATGTTCCTGTTGTTAGTTCATTCATTCAGTCCATAAGCCCTAATGCGTGTCAGGCTCCTGGGATTCAGAGAGGAGTTGAGGGCAGCCAGGATCCGGCAAATCTCTGGCATCATTAGACTTGAGAACCTCACATACAGCTCTCCTTCAGTGCTGGGCAACATTCTAAGTACCTTGCATGTCAATCCTTGCCATAACAGTGAAGTTGCTGCAATTATTATCACATTTGCCCAGTGAGGCACAGAGAAGTTAAGTGACTTTCTCACAGTCCAGTAATACCTGCATTGCTACTGAGACTTGATATTGGTTAGTGATTTGAGGCCTGGCAGTCTGGTTCTGGAGGTCACAATTGTAACAATGAGGGCACAGTGGCTTTCATTCTAATTCCCACAGCCCTTGTCATCTCAGCAACCCACTGAGGTATGAGAGACTTGGGACTGATTCTCAAGGTGACTTAATTGCTGGTATGACCTTGAGTAAGTCACTTCAGTGTGGCTTGGAAAAGGAGTAGAAGTAGGAGGCCTCTTGGGTACCATGTAGCTCTGGCAGTATTTCTTCATATTCAGAAGGACCGTCCTTTTCTGCTTTTCTGTTTTATGTTCCTAACAGGACTGAGCCACTGCCCAATGCCTGTTGTATGGCCTGGCCCACGAATCCCTACAACACTCAATGAAAAACCAGCCTCACCACGACTAGCAATGTGTGAATAACTGTCATGTCTCACTAAGGTCAACTTTTGCTAATTGGAGGATTGCAAGTTCCAGGGCCAGCTGCCTCCCTGGGGAGGTGGTAGGGACAGTGGCAAGGTTGGAAACTGCTTTCACACGATCAGGTCCTTGAGGAGGTAAAACAGGGAAGACATACCCCTGGCCTTGGGTCGTGTCAACCTGCAGGAATGTAGCAGTGAATGAGGAGCCCACAAAGGAGATGAGAAGGAGGGGCCAGTGGAAGACCGGGAGCTTCTAGGGACAAAGAAGTGAAAAGAAGACTGTGTGCGGAAGGAAGTCATTGTTGTGCGGGATGCTACTGAGAATTCAAATCAGATGAGGGTTTTGAAGTGATCATTGGTTTGGGCAACAGAGAGATGACCTTAATGGGAGCAATTTCAGTAGGGTGACGGGGTCAGAAGCCCAGTTGGAGTGGGTTAATGAGATCATGGAGAGAGGTGGACGGTGGTGTTGCCTTACCCACCCCTGCTCCCCTGCGCTGCACCCTCATCCCTGGAGTTGACCCGGAGACCTCCATGATTGACACCAACATGGCTTTCCCCCGACCACCCAGATTCCCTCCTTTAGGACCCTGTAAGTGCCTTCATCTGAGCCTCGCCTCCCCCAATTCTCCAAACCCTAATACCCCACCTTCTGGGACTTAGGTTCCACCCTCAGAAAAGTCCTCTAATGCCTCGCACTAGCTCCGGACATTCCCTCCACTTCCTTGTTTTTACTGGAACTCTTCAAATCCGGGCTTTGTCCCAGGCAAATAAATGGCACTTGCCGAGGTGACATTGGTCTCACCCGCGCCAAATCCAACAGACAACTTTCCACGTCCATCTCCTCCGACCTGGTGGCAGCAGCAGCATGCGCTCACCCCCTCTTTGTCTTAAGTCCTTTTCCACCCGGCTGTCATGATGCACTCTTGGTTCCCTTCCCACCCTGCCGATGCCCTTCAATCTCTTGCCAGTCCCCTCTGCCTTTCCCCAGTCCCTGACCATCAGGGGGCCTGGGCCTTTTCTCTTCTCTTGGCACCTACCTCCTAGTGAGCTCACCCAGTCCCAGAGCTTTAATTACCTTCAATATGGATAACTCCCAATTTTGTATCTCCAACCAAGGCTCCTCCCCTGAATTAGATACCACTTGTCTGTAGGCATCTCAAACTTCACATGTCCAGCACCAGAATATTGATTGTCCCATGCTGTTTCCCTGTCACACACACAGGCAGGCATCTTTTGCCCTGGAGCATCCATTTTTGGAAAACAGGAACTTTGTCTTATCTCCAGGGTGTAGAGCGATGCCTGGAATATGTGGCTCACATTGTTTCCTGAAGGAATGATGAAATCCACAGGGGGATCCATAGCCATTCCAGCCGGGCGCTTCTGGGGAGGGAGGTAGCCGAGTGAGTTCCAGGGATCAGCCGTGTGGTTGTGCAGGTGGCTGACTGCTCTGCATCCTCAGGGCTGCTCACCCTCGTCTCCTGCTTCCTGGTTTCTCCTCACTCTCATTGGCACTGAGTCGACTTTGCTGATGCACAAAGCCAACTGGAAACCACCCTGGGGTTTCCTACATTCCTTTGCCAATAGCTCAGTGAGCGAGTGTGGGAAGGGAAGGACTTGGGAGGGCAAGAGACCTCAGGGTAGGGTCTGTGTTTTCCCATGGAAAGTTCTTTAGGTGTTCTCTGAAGATGATTGCTTCAGCAGAAGCAGATATTCTTGTTCCCAAAGAATCTTTTGGAAGGTTTGCTTGGGCCCGGCATGTGGGTTATGAGGACCTCTTGATTAACAACAAGTGTTTCTCGTCTGCCAAGGTTTTTGACTTTAGCCAGTGAGTATGCAACTGTGTTTTACTATCAAAGTACTTTAATCCCCTCCAGCTTACAAAGTGTTTTCATATTTACTATCTCACCTGGCCCTCAGGATGACACTCTGGACTTGCGGTTATTATTCCTGAAGTATAGAAAAGTGAGCCCCCAAAATTAGCTATGATGCTGGATCCAATGCCTGCTGCTATTGATGGAGCCCTGGCTATGTGCTAGGTGCTTCGTATGTATCATTCATACTAACGAAAATAATAGGTACTATTAGAAAGAACAGAAACATTTCATAAGGGACTATTATTACATATAGGTTTGGAAGAAAGGAAATTATGTGTAACTTTAAAGTCTGCGTAGGTTGGTATGACTTAGTCTATACAGAGGGAAGCGTATTTCCATAATCATAGTACTTATCACACTGTATTGTAATTGCCTGTTTATGTATCTGTGTGCCCCGCTAGACTGTAAGCAGAGGTCTGCCTGCTCTCCGTGGTGTCTCTATCACTTAGCACAGTGCCTGGCACATAATAGACACTTTATAGATGTTTGCAAAATGAAAAAGAAAAACCCATAAAATGTTATTTTACACACTGGGCAAGTCGGGCTTAATGAGGTTGAGTTTCCTGCTGGGTATCACAGAGGACCCACACCACGTCCTCTGACTCTAAAGCCTGTGCTTCTTCTAGGGAGGCGTACTGTCCACTTTGGAGTCCCTGGTAGTGACCATGACGCACCCAGCACATGCTAGGAGCTCAGTTCATACTGAATTCTTTCACTGCTCCTTGCCAACTGTGTGACTATGGGCAGGTTGTCACCCCTGCATGTTTAGAGGGCGGGTTTCATGCCCATTCTGCAAGCTTGATGTAACTTTTAACCACATTTATTAGATGGACAGACTGGCTGGTGAGTCCCAGGGTGGTTCTGGGCTGCTTCTCTGCATACCTTCTCCCTGGCTAATGTCAGCCAAGTCCACATCTTTGCAGGTGACTCCTAAATATAGATTTCCCAAGGACCCCTGCTCTTGTGGCCAAATGCTTGCCTGGTATCTCTCACTGTCTGGCATCCAGGACTTGGCATGGCTAGAAGGGAACTAACTCTTCCTCCTCTCCTGATGCAACTCAACCCCCGATTTTCTCTGTGTCTCAAAGAGATGGCACTACCATCTGTCCACTTGTCCCCGCCAAATACTCTCATTATCTTTTATTTCTCTTTTTCCCTTAGCCCTCACTTCTGGTCAGTTGGCAAGGGTGTCAGCACCATCTCCCAGACAGATCCCAAGAGCCAGTGCTTCTCCGTCCTCACTGCACCGATCATCTCCAAGCTGCCAGCACTCAGACCGTGGCAGTGGCCTCCTAGCTGGTCTCTCCCCTTGCATCTTGTTTCCTTGGAACCAGGGACTGTGTCTGTTCACACAGCAGACAAGGTCTTTCAAAAGAATACTTGGTTTTCCTTTACACTCAAGAGTATGATCTGAACCCCTTTTCCTGGTTTATGAATGCCTCCCCATCCTCTGTGCCAGGCTCCTGGCCCCATCCCTCTCACCCCTCAGTTCCCTACACTTCCACCCTCTGGCCTTCTTTCTGCCCTGGCTCTGTGCTGTGTCTGGAATGTTCTTTCTCTGGATCTTAACAGGGTGGG